ACGTGTCGTTTGCTATTGTTCTTAGGGCAGTTTTGTGTGGCTTTTTGTACTGGTTCGTTTGAGCTCAAACACGCCTCTGTACTCAATGAGGAACGAGGTAGGCTTCACGGGGTATAGGCACTATTCGAGGTGTCAGGGGGAGAAGAGACCAAGTGGAGGGGAGGGTCGGGGGATCATGAGGGTCAGGGGAGTTGAAGGAACCCATCGACCTCACCTCACACACCGCGGAACGTTGAACTAAGTCGTGACAACGTGACTTGACGTCACACTTTTTCGTGAGTGCAGCTGGTCGTTGTTCATCGATTTATAAGACGTTATCACGTCAAAAATAATATTTGCTATTTTAGAATATTTATTGCTCAGTAGATATGACATTCCTCTGCCTACTGTAATAATAAACAACATCTTTGCTAACTGAAACAAAGGAAGGTCCAAAATAATCCAAAAAAAACAGACATTACATAATTCTCACATGATGGAACACGATGGAAATTAGAGCTTCACCCTCATACGGACTGGAGCGTAAACATTACTAGATAGATGTCAGGTAAAAGAAAGAGAGCGGATGTCGCAAAATGCAACGCAACTGACAATTTTCTGGTTACTTGGCCATCAGAAGGAGGGTCTTGCTTTTGCTTTGTCATCCGTCGCGACGTCCGGCCTTAATATCCCGCCCCACCAATTTTAAAGGGAGACGGTGAGCGAAAAAAAATTGTGTGTGTCAGCTCCGACGCACGACTGGAGTTTACTCCTTAAGTTCGATAGTCTAACCAGACGCAAAAAGAGTTTATTTAACTTAAAAAAGATTGATACTGTATGAAAGGGTAAATTAACAAATGATAAAATTAATATACATATATAAATATATATTTATCCATTTCATATACATTTATTATAACTAATCGACGAAATATTTTACATTAAACTTTTTACAATAGTCAATTTCAGATGTGCATAAATATATCATTAGGAATGTTGATAAATTATGTAATTATTATTATCAGACTATTATCATTTTTTTAAATATTAATTAAATCAACATTGTCTGCATTATTAATTACAGTGACAAGTGGTTTATGGTAACTAAAATAAGACACATGGACGTTCGTAGATACGTGGTTCACGAATCTTGAAAATACCGCATCAATGGTTGTACCATACCTCGTTGTCCCCATTGCTCTATCAGAAACAATATCTAAATTCAGTTCAGATTTAAAAAAAACATTAATGTCAATCCGTCATCTTTGTTTGTCAAAGTTGCGCGACATAGGATGCGCACCAAAAACGTAACGAGGTCATTCATCGATAGATTTTACTCCTCACATTTTTCTCATACCGGGCCCCTTATATATGCAAATCGATTCTTAAGGAGTAAACTCCAAAAACTATATGTATACCTATATTGCCACAAACTTTAGTTTACTTTTCCTTGTATTGCAGGACTTTTAATGTCATAATATGATGATGCTTATCAACTTCATTTCGCAAAAAAACATTATTGATTTCTTATATACAGACTTTAATCTTCTATTCCCACCTGTTCAAGATATATTTTCACAACAAAAAGTCACAATGACTCTCTTTTCCGAGGTTCCTTTCATCTTCATGCCAAAATATTTTCAAAATCATTTTCACTTCTTAGGTATGAAAGCGTAGTAGACAGACAAAAAGTCAAAGTTACTTTCGCATTTCTACTATCAATATGAATATAAATAAATTCAAGATTCTTCTGATTCTTCTACTCGGAAGAATGTATAGACATGTTTGCGAAATCATTAATAATTTCTGGCGACACTGCTAATTAATAAAAAAAATATATGGAAACATTAAAAACTATTCTGCGCAAAAATATTTTTTTCTTTTTGAAGTTATACTTCTTTAGCCGCGTTATGAAAAAAATATGAGAGTGAAATTTTAAGATGCGCGCGCATCACTGTAACACGAAAGTAACATAATGAAGTTAGCCGCGGGCGCGTTATGAAAGAATGATGAGAGTGAAATTTTAAGATGCGCGCGCAACAAGTAACACCATGAAGTCGGCCGCTAAACCGCACATTACTCGTAAGTCTCGAAAAAAAGCTTCCAACAAAATAGTAATAGGATCTCTTAGTCGCACATGTTGGGACGCTCGTCACCTCTGATCACTGTTTTCATATTTATAATATTTATCCACATGTTTCTAGTTTCTATATTCTTAACACGTGTTATAATGTTATACAAATGCGAAATTTATATGTGCTAATAAATTTTATTCAGTAGTGATTTAAATTGAATATTTTGATTATTTATTAAATTTTTCAAATTAAAACTGAACTTTATTAACTGCGTTGACTATCCTTTTCCAATCCTTTTATTATCTTATTGTAATTAATTATCTGCATGCAATTAAAAACTATTTTTAATAATTCCAAAAAGAAGTATAACTTCTCACGCGCGTACTTAAGTACACGCACCCATATTTTTTTTATACCTAGGCGATCGAGTAATGTATAACAAAGTCATTTTCCACGCGCTCTCTGAGAAATCACTACAATACCTACTAAAAGAATGAATGGAATCTTTTTGTATGCTACTCGACCATATTCTTTTCAGAAATATTCTAATTCTAACGAGCATATTTTTTGAGTTACCAAAAGGGCAATGCCCGAGATAGGCTCGAAGTGGACAAGGGCTTGGCAAACAACAGTTTTAAAATTTTTTTTTTTTGTTTTTAACCAATTTATATAACCGTAATATAGTGGAGAGTTGCATTAATAATGCAATAAAATAAATGAAAATTATACGATCACTTTCTTCTATCAGTTATCTAATATCACATGATCGGAAACAGTTGTAATTTGGTTGAATTTAAGTTAGCATTATGTCATTCAGCGTAAAACTGCTCTGATTGACAGAATTTAAGTAAGCCATTTCAGGGGAAACGGCTAGGATTGGTCGGGTCTAAGGTGATATTTGCAGAAAAAGACTGCGTTCCAAACCTACGCCCCAGGTGCCACAAATGCAAAATTCGGTAGAAGTTTAATACATTTATGTCAAAATTAAAACGTTAGTGTGAAAAGTTGCACTTGTAGCGTAGGTTTGGAACGCACCCAAACTGTCAAAAGAACACTGTGTTTTTTCGTTTAGACATTTGGTATTTTATATGTGCACGCCATATTGCGCAATGTTAATTTTTCCCGACATATTTAAAGAATAGATGTTTATTTTCGATTTTATTTAATTGTGTAAAAGAAAATGTATCTTCCCAGTGTATAGACATCATATTGGTAATACCTATATTGATTTTGAATATTATAGATAGTTGCGAAAAAGACTTAATTGTGCTTGTATTACTTTTTTAGATACTGTGCTTAAAAATGGTTTTAAAGGATACTGATACAAAATTATAATGATTCTAAGGTTCGGTAGTTTAAGCTTCTTGAATTTTATAGTTTAACTTGTTAAATTGTCTATTCATTTTAAGCCACATTACCATACAAAGTGGGCATTGCCCTTTGTACTTAATATTTAATTTACCCATTTTCTCGATCCAATATTTTTTTATTGCCGATAGATCAATAGTTTGTAAATGAGTGTGATAACTTGATAAGAACTAAATAGGATCAGTATAAGATTTGGCTTAGATATAGAGCTGCCATGATTGAATTATGTCGATGAAAGCTCCTAAACAAATAAAGAATAATAATAAAACTTAAGAATCTCATAAAAAACAGGTAAATCACTTTACTCAGACATTGCTATAAATTCAAGGTAAGTAAGTAACTACACCTCTATATAAACAGTATTATGGAAATTAGAACACCCAGACTCAATACAGTGTTTAAAAGTTCTTTCAAAAGCAAAGATTAATATTTTTAAATTTATATTATTTGTTGGACTAGCGGTCACCCGCGACTTCATCCGCGTTATCTTAAGTTTTTTGAGAATCCCTTTGTCTCAATCTAGGTCATAAACTATTATGTATACCAAATTTCATCTAACTTTAATCAGCCGTTTTTGCATTATTGAGTAACAAACATACAAACTTTCACATGTATAATATTAGTAGGATAGTAGGATAAATAACTTCTAGAATAATACCTTGATAAATAGATAGAATAATACCCTCTGTTTTAGATACAGTTAAAGGTATAGCAATCAAAGTCGTCGAAATAACGCGTAATCGCTGTTATTCTATAAAGAAATACTCACTATAATACTTTTACGCAAAGTCGAGCAATACGTGAGAACGAACGCAATGTACAGATCTTAACCCGATTACTGAAGTAATGGCGCACAACAAAGGCATTTAACATTTTAATCTTTTATAACAGAGCTTGTGAGTAATGCGTGTGATTGTATGGGTTTCAATGCAACAAAAAGAACAAAATTTGTGCTGACACCGCTAATTAGCAATGCTCTGTTGGTTATTAGTGTGCATATTTTCAATTTTAAACTGAAAATGTATAAACATTTGGCTTTGAACTACATCTTAATAGCGAAGTTGTTCGAGTTACCGCTGATGTACAAATGATGATGTAATTTATGTTTTTATAAATTCCATATTTATTACACATTCTTATATATATTTAAAGTAATGTGCGTTTTTTTTACATAACTTATTTTCCTCGTTGTCACCCTTAGTAACAATATGAGATACGTTTTTTTATTGTTTTTACTGTTACACTTAAATTTAATTTAGATTTAATTATTAAATATTATATTATTATTTGGTTTCTTACATTTAAACTAATTAATATAATTTTAATATTATAAATAGTTTAACATTTTGAAAACACAAAGAAAATCGTTGAGTAATTCACAGAATAACGAAGATAAACTTCTGTCAGTCACATGAATTGTCTCCGAACGATTCAATCAATCATTTGACATGACACAGTTCGAAGATGAATTCATTATCGATAGCGCCTCGGGGCCTAAGTCGATCGCCTACCAGTTGACATTTCGGATAAAGGACGACACCTGCTTTCGTCTCCTTAATCACTTCCCAGACCACTGACATGTGGGCACACATACATCCTGCGCGGGAACTTTGGCCATATGAATTTCGCGGTCGCGCCTGGTGGCCCTTCCAATACTGGCCCGCCAAGGCCTTTACTATCCGTATAAAAGCAGTTCACCCGCCCGCAACGACACACTTTGTTACTTTCACACGAGCAGTGCACATTGACAAAATGTTCAGGCTCACCGTATTAGCCTTTGTGATCGTGGTGGTGACGTGCCAACAGGAAGGGGGCAGACGTGTCCCTAAATACGCGGGTGATCCGAAAACAGCCGCCATCGTGCAAGAAGCGCGTTACCTGAGCGGAAATGGAGCGTTCGGCGCTGCGTACCAGCAAGAAGATGGTATCAACTTCAAGGAGGAAACCGACGCTGACGGCAACAGGAGAGGCAGCTACTCGTACATCGATCCCAGTGGACAAAGAAAAACTGTGAATTACATCGCGGGAAAGAACGGTTTCCAAGCTGTCGGAGATCACATTCCCACTGCGCCCCAATCTGTTGCACCTACTCCAGGATACACCCCGGACCCACGCTACAACTCTCCAGACTACAAATCCCAGCAGTACTCTGCTCCTCAACAGTACACTGCTCCTGCTCCCGCCCGAAACTACGCAGGCAAGCCCAACGAGGATGACGGACAATACTACCCCGAGTTGTACGAAAAAGAAAACTACGTAGCACCCCAGCAACAGTATCAAGCTCAGCCGCAGTATCAACAATCCCAATACCAAGCGCAGCCCCAGCCTCAGTATCAGCCGCAGCCACAGCTGCAACCCCAGCCTCAATACCAGGCAAACAACATTTACCCAGGAGTTCAGCAAGCGCAGTACAGTGGAATTCAGTCTCAGCAATACTCTGCGCCGAGTCAATCCGCCAACCAGTACTACGAGCCTACAACGCCACCACCAAACCGGTTTTTTCCACCCGGTAAATTCAGTTTGAACCGGGCTCCCGACGGCTACACTTACTCCTTCCACAAAGTTTAAATCTAATCTATTTTGAGGGCCCGGCTGTTTGTAAAGAAATAAATATAAGTATGCACCTATTAGCCATTCGCCGAGTCATCGGGGCGGTCGGGTGCTCGGTCGCTTCGAAAGCATTTCATAGTTGTTGTTTCCTGTGATATTGTGTTTTAATGGACAGGTGTAACTGTCGGACATTTTTGTTAGATGTGTAGTGGTGGGGATGCGGTATGTCGCGTGCGACGGAGTCAAGCAACTGAACTTGTAAATAAATTTAGATAAGCTCAATTTTTATTTTTATTTCACATGGCTTTTTATTTTCTACGTGAAAAAATATATTAAACCTCTTTGCAGTTTTATTGTATTCCTCTGTCATACAGTATAATAGTATATTTGTCACGTGGTCTAATGCATGTATGCCGCGCAAGTAACAACATTTCCCGTCTTGATTCAATAATAAAAGTTTGTGGAGACTTCCTGGTTACCGCCTAACTGGGGAGTGGGCTGCGTCCGCATTCTGTAGCTGGTGTTGGCAACTAGATCACCTTACTGCTGGCACAAGGATATTTACTGAACCGGTCTGGCCCTGCCACGCCTTGCTTTCCAATTACAAGTCATATTATTAGGTCGGCGTTGCAATGAAACTCAATAATTTCATGGAGTTTATCAACAAGTGTAATCAGTGGCTTGTTCTATCGCCAGACCCACAATACGCATTAATTTGAAATCGAACATTGGAATGCAAATAATGTTCCAATTTACCGCGTGAATGGAACTCAATCAAATGTACGTGACTAACAAAACTGTGTTGTATTAAGGTTTTGACTGAACATTATTTCAAAATTAGAGTTTTAAAATCATAAATTACAGATTTTAACGCTAACGTGTAAATGATGATGATTTTATCTATAAATATCAGCGACGATTTCTTTGTAAATATAAACAAATACCCTTAAAACATGAATCGACTAATTAAATGTGTGTTTCAATGCAAATGTCACACATCAAATTGAATAATAATGAAAATTCGCTAATGGATGAAGTTGGCATTGACAACATTGCCGAAGCAAGGCTTAACTGCTAGCATCCTATTTCCTTTAGGCAACTCGGAACGTTCTAAGGTAAAGCTCATGTACAAACATTATTATAAGTTTGGCGCTCCGGTTTCATCGTTAGCGCAGGATGCGATGGATGTGCCACTATCCCACTGGAGTTGTCATCAAATGTGTAATACCAAGTTTTGGAGCACACGCGACTACTATCACTTACTTACTTAGATTCTCTCACGTTATTGTGATATGAAAGCCAAATTTCGTTCCATAAAATTGTTGTTTTAAAAAGGAATAGCATAATAATCGTATGTTACTTTAGATAGGTAAACACTTTATTTAGTTTTTTTAATGTCACTTCACAAAGCAACCGCCGCTGTTCTCCTGTTCCCCTTAGGTCCGGCACACTCCCACACTCAGATTGCGTCAAGTATCTTGGTTTCCACTTGGATAGGATACTCATCTGGAAGCAGCAAGTAAAGAAAAAGAGGGATGAGGTCAATATAAAATTTAAAAACGTTCATTGGCTTATAAACCTCAACTCTGCCCTGTGAATTGACAACAAGCTTGTCATGTACAATTCTATTTTTAAACCATTTTGGACTTATGGGATATAGTTGTGGAGCACTGATAGCAAAAGTAACATTATTTGCCTGCAGCAAGTTCAAAATAAATATCTTCAGAAAAATAGTAAATGCACCATGGTTCACACAAAAATACGAAATTCATGAATACTTGAACATGCCCACTGTTGCAGAAGAGATAGACAAGTGCAAATCGAGGTACACTGGGCGCCTCTCAAACCATCCAAATTCTTTAATATGCCAATTGCTTGAGCAAGCTAACCGCGTCCGCGTCCGTCGAGACTGAAGAGGAAGAATGTTCTTTAAAGGAAGTGGTGGCGCTGGCCGATCACTCTTGTCATATTTGGTTGCGCTCAATAAATTTGCTCATAGTCCAAAGACTGATTGCAAATAGTAATAATAAAAAAAACAACAAATAAAAAAGTAAGTTCAGTGTCATCTTGTCATGTTTTGTCGCTTGTTGCAACATCAGTAAAATATCACTACAATTGGATGGTGTGCGTTTTCGTAAGGAAAAAGAAGTTCCCGCACAACCTAATGGTTCAATACGATATTGAAGTGAAAAAGTTACGACAAACAGTATAAACAATGTAATTCTCAGAAATATCGTACTATTTTTACTTAAATATTTATGAAATTTTAACATTAATGGAAGTGGCGTGACTATTGATAATTAAAAGAGACCATTAAGGTTTATGTATCATGATATTGACAAACGCTTTTTACTATAACGTATAAGTGGCAATGATAAATATCATATGATTCAATGGAGCTTTTAATAAATCAAAATAAGTTAAGTATAATTATATCATTATAATTTTTTTCTTCTCCTAAAATGTGTAAATACAAATTCAGGTAACTGATGAATTCGGAGCAGAGTGGATTTCCCGCTTAAAATTGGATCGCCAAGGGATGTTTTAATGAATTTTATAAAGATAAAATTAACACAAAAATATTTAATAATTATTCGATTTATTGATTGTTTATTCTTTATTATGTTTCAGTGAATTTTCATAGGACAAAAGGCACTCCAGCAACTTTGGATTGTCCTTTTCAATTAAAAAATCGGTCAACTGCGAGTTCAACTGAAGTGGAAAGGGTTTTCTTTTTTTTAGAAATTATATATTTTTAACCTAACGCAAATATGTTTGTGGTAACCGTAGATAGAATAGTCCACTGTAAACTGCTACTACTCCCTTAATACGTCCTTAGAGAGTGCCCCATAAGTAATCCCCATATTCATAGTTTATTTATTTACTTTATACGTCCATGTTTGGGTTGACTTGTATGTAACAAAGTAGGCGGTTAAATTTTGTATGGGGGATGGTAGTGAATCTCCCGACAGATTTCAAATTTTTATAAGATATTTATTGTACTTCATTGTACATCGTTTGATAAAAAACCAGAATTAATTATATCCCCGTTTTCTTAAAAATAATTATACAATTATTTATTGGCAAATAGCAAGTTTAGCTCGATGGCGCAGGTGATTAGCGCGTTCGGCTGCGATCGTTTCAGTTAAGCAACTTTCGCAGTAGTCAGTCATTGGATGGGTGACCAAAAATCTTCTATCTCGAGATCCTCCGTGCTTCGAAAGGCACGTTAAGCTATTGGTCTCGACTGCATATGCAGTCGTTAGCACCCGCCAATCCGCACCGGATCCGCATGGTGGGTCATGGCCCAATCTCCCTATTCCATCCATTGAGAGGGCCTGTGCCCCAGCAGTGGGGACATTAATAGGCGGATGATGAAATGGCAAGTTTATATATCTATTTTTTGCTGCCAAATCATCAAATATATTCTATTCAATATGTAACTAAAGCATTAATAATTATTCGATTCATCTTTCATTACTAATAATGTAATGCTTTAGTACTTTGTGGGTATTTTACATGTGGGCATGAATGGACTGATTAGCATTTGCCTAAATATAACGTTACAAATATGCTGAGGTGCCCAGCATCCCAATTTTTTTATTAATTTTTAAAAAAGATTTAATAATAATCGGGAATAAATAAAATATTGCAAGTATCTGTTCATGTTAAAATATAAAACAAGCTTATAAATGAATTTGAATGACTTATTTAGTCGCTGCCGGTAAAAGACTACCACTTTTGAACCATCTCCTTTCAACTTGATCAGTTTAGTTGATTCCGAGCAAATCAACTGTGACAGACAGACAGACAACCCAGTGATCTTATTAGGGTTCCGTTTTGTTGTTACCGATTGAGGAACGGATCCCCAGTTTCTTTTCCCCACAACATTACACATGTTAATAATATGTCTATGTCTGCCAAAATCTGTAACATTTTGTCGGCAACAGCTCTCATGGTAATTTTTTACATGTGTAAAAACCTATCTGATGTTATAAAATGTTATCGACACATGCACATATACTCACGTGCACACAGAATGATATACTTTCTCTAACATATTTGTTTTACCAAAAACAAAATACATAGTTAACTTTTAAAGAAGTTGAATAAAGTTTACCTCCTAACACGTTTACACACTCACGCGCACACATAATTATACATAACTTATACAGGCATACTATGGTATGTATGATGACCGGCACAAGAAATTTGCAGATTTTATCAATAATCTAAACACACAAATACTTAGTTATTTATACCCTTTTAGATTTTGTAATTTAAAGTTATAACTAATCGTTTAACAAACAACATAGCTTTAACCAAACTACCACCTAAGGCTATCCCTCTCTTTATGGAGAGAAATATAAGGCCAATACTAATTTGCCAATAGAAAAATATACGTACAATATTTCATAAAGTGACCTCAAAAAGAGTTCCATAAGAAACAAACAAATGGATTTGTTGGCAGATAACATTTGCCGATATAAGTTATATCAATCAAATCATTCTAAGGCCAGCATGCTAACTGGCTCACTTGAGAAATGTCGAAAGTCTTACACTGTTCCTTTCGTAATTTTATTGTTTGAAGGTACATAATCTCATATCAGTGGAACGCGTTTCAACACTGAACGGTATTCAAGTAGCACTTAATTAAGTCACAGCGTGTGAACATGCCCCTGACTTGAAATCATCAAAGTGGCAAATAACAGAGTAGATAATCATTAAGCGTTGATTTAACTATATTATTTTAATAAGAAAACAGTGCATTTTCGCCTCACTGGGAGCGCGAATTGGTGCGCCCGCAAGTAGTTACCTAGTCTAAGCGCTCCTACGCACTAGCAGTTATTCGCAGGGACGGCTAACCAAGCGGCTAGCCGCTTTACCAGTTTAATATGCAACCCTCTAGGGTATTTCACTTGATTGTTCTTCCGATACGGATGGGTTAATTCGATTTGAAATTAAAAATTGGCATATTTATATACATAGGTATAAGTATTATATGGTGCACACTAGGCACCATATACGCCTATGTATATAAATGTGCAGAATCGCTATCACAAACTTCACGATGAGGTTGAAATTAGAGCGAGCTAAAAACCAATATTTCATCGGCTTGTTATATCTCTAGGTGCCTATATAAAATGATGATCTATATAAAAGTTTGCTTACTCTGTAACAGAAAATAATTAAAAGATAAAAAATTAAATCTTTAGTGCCCTGTAGATCATTCAAAGGTAAAAAAAGCTTCTGATTTTGTTAATTTAAAAAATATTAA